CAAGCATTTCGAGAAAGCAAAGGTGGATGTTTCACTTGGGCAAGTCTCGACTGGGAGTCTCGACTGGGAAGGGGGTGGATGTCGTTTTGGGGTGTCGTTCTGCGACCAATGGCAGAGGTGCTGAAATTCACCGCACTGGGAATCCTCTCGTTTCTCTTGGGTTATCTTGGGTTCTATATATACAGGTAGCTGGTGTGGTTGCAGGTGCACAAATGAAGTGAAATCCGCCAACCTTAAAAATCGGCTGCTGCCAGGATTTTTGTTGACTGTACCTCTTATTTGATCTTATTTGTACAAGTTGCTGTTAGTCCAAGCTCCTCTTTGGCTAATTTGCAGGTGGCTCAGCATGCACGGGAGCAATTGAGGGCTTGAGGTGTCATTTAGGAGATGTCCCGGTTGATTCCCTCTGTCAAACATTGCTGGAGCTTGTCAACAAATTCTTTGATCTGCTGCCTATACAAAAGGATTCTTTCGGAGTTATTTCAAGTTATTTCAGCTATCTGTGGAGCCAGAAACAGCAGGCAGACTGCAGGCTGGGGTGCAAAAATCTGCAGCATCCTGCTTGTCCAGCCCGTAGTGCACACCTCTTAGAATCACTTTGGTTGGCCAACGCAACCTCATCTCTCTGTTGTTTCACACCTTGTGGGCTTGGAACCCTGGGACTGTTGGGCAAACCACATGATGCACGGAACGCTTGTCGCACCTCGCTTGGGCAGCCATGTCGCACGACCGGAAAGAAGATTCTCAATCGTTCCAACCCATGTCGAGTCCTGCCGGCTTCCAACACTTCAGCCAAATCTTAACCGACCAGCGGCTTGGATTCATCCTGAAAGCTCAAGCTAAAGCCACGTCTGCCACAGCACCTGCATGTTCTACTTGAGTAAGCCACAACAATACGCAGAGCTAGGCATAGCTTGACAGCTCTGCTTAAGTTGGTCTTGGAAAACTTAAAATGATCGGGGAATTGCCACAACATGCCGCATCACCTCAGAACCCCAAATGCGGCACAAATGGAACCCAGCGTGTTCAACCCAGCACGTTCAGGAACCACAGCTACGACGCGATTGCGAGGGCTTTGTCTGTTTTCCACCGGGTCATTGAGCAGGCGATTGCTGAGCAAATAGTACATGGGCACTTTGCCACCTTGAGTCTTCTTTGCTCGCAATCCATGTGCCAGAGACAGTCTCAACCGTCAGGCTTTCCAGTCAACCGGGCCTTGACGACACAATGTTCGTTTCAAGAAGCCTAGCAGGACTTGCCATCCGTTGACCCACGGATTCTCCCATCCGTTGACAGCAATGCTGTCATCGCATGCACGAGTACCTGCCAATCCAGTGCGAGCTGGGAGTAAATGAGCATCTGGCCCAGAAAAATACAAAAAAACACTTTACTATATACACCCTGGAAGTCAAAGACTATAAAAAGAATTGTCTTTAGGGGAACTGAAAGGGAACTTCCTTTACTCCAGCCAGTCAAAATATAGTCTTTGGGCTTCTAGGGTACATACACAAGGTTGAGCATTGAGAATCACTAAATCAGAATCATTCGAGATCTTGCCCACAGCCTCCAGCCCCAGGAATTGAATGATGCACGATGCACATCCTTGGCCTGAGCCAAAACAGGTGCGCAGGACCCTTTTATACTCAGCTGCACAGGTTGCGAATAGCATTCAAAACAACATCTGATGGAAGTCTATCCATGTTGTTTCTGGGGAAAGGGACGCCAGGCGTCATGACCATCCTCCCTGCACTGCATTGTTCTTATGTTCTTATTGTATGTCTTCTGCAATTAATATTAATGTCCTCTTACAAGCCGTCAAGAATAAGCAGATATTAATCAATATGATTATAAATACACAACAAGCTCAAAAAAGTGGGCAACAAATCAATGACCTTGTCGCTTCACTCTTTTCTTAGCATTTAGGAACAAAACTCCACACTTTTCGTGTCAGGCTTTGCACATAGTTGCGAAGCAAAGAAGCCGCCGGGCCGGGCAACGACTTCACGGGTCGTGGAGGCACTTCAACGACTGGCCGACTGCGACCTGAGTCTGATGGCCAAGTCAGACGCATGTTTAAACAAAGGTTCGGCTGCTCGTTTCATATCCAAATTGTGGTTTGATAGATTCGGGGATCAGGGATCTATTTGGTCAAGATATTCCTTGATGCAAACCCACCCGGCAGGGCCTTCATGTGACGGGACACACTGGTGGCCCATGGAGTGAAAATGGAGCCTCTACCAACACAAGGTTGTCCACTTAAAACGTTAGTGAGACAAGGAGAGTACCTTCTTTGTCCGTGGCGCCGTGGCAGCCTCTCACTCCCCGCACCTTTTTCACATCGACACCTTGACAGGATGAAGCCGCAAAGCAGAACACCGAGCTGGACCAAACACTAAACGCACCAAAAAGTATTAAAACACAAATGGAAGGCCGGGAAAGAATACCAACGGAGTCTCTTGACTGCTGCCTGTTTCTGGTGTTTCTTCGCCTGATCCAAGGAAGGGAGATCTTTCGTTCGCGCAGCAGCAAGGCGTGGGGAAAAACCTTCCCTGACTTCGCTCTCGCGCTCGCGCGCTCTCGTCGACACGGTCCACGCCAGATCCGCCCACAGACGGGAGTCCCGTCATATTCCTGGTTCTCATCTCATTCGATTTCTCCAGGAATCATTTGGGTGTGAGATATCACGAGACACCCGCATTGGCCCAAGAGGTTGACATATCAACATGGTTGCTTTTAAGACAAAGACATGCTCGGGCTTGGTGCAGATGCTGGCATGCTCAAGCATGCTCAAACTGATATTGAACAATCGTCTTTTATGGTACACCCACACTGACAAGCATTGGGATGAGACTGAGCCGTTGGGGGCTTGAAATATTGTGCAAGTGCCAGGACATGGTACCCATGTTGGCACATTGAGGACTATATGGAACTCTGCAACACCTCCTCTCATATGACATCTTTTGACATTCCAACTTAGGGTATCTGTCACTACGGTCGCAACCCCTGGTCTCGTGATTGTAAAACAGCGTGAAGCGACTTGTTTTGCGCTGTGTCTTTGTGCCCGTCTGAACACGTCGTTTGAGCATCCGCTTCATAAGTTCTTTTTGGTCATCGCAAATCATCCCTTTCACATGTTCATTGTGATCTGTCATGTTCATGTGATGAAACCCACAAAGGTGATGCGTGGATGTGGTGGTGACGGGTGGTACTTGCTTCCAATTCTCTTCTGCTTCCCAAAAAACTCTGAAAAAACGAAACGCGTTTTGAAGAGAAGAAAAGGAACACGCCAAAACCTGTTTTCCCATGCCGATTTCTTGGTCGACTCTCAAAGACTATGCCGGACCCCGTGGGCGGACGACCGTGGACCGTGGACCCGACGTCCTTCCGAACCGGCCCCCGTTGCCACGGTCGACTTGGTCGACGTTCGGCGACCGGTGGCCGTGTGTACCGGTGGCGACTAGGGGGAGTCTTGAAAGGATGGGAAATGCCCTAGTCTCATGGAGACTCATAGTCGACTCTATCTATCTACCGTTTTCTGAACTATCTAATCCATCGGATCTTTGTTTCTTTCTTTATTTCTTTCTTTTCTTTTCTTGTCTTATGTTATCTTATCCAAATATCTATCCATCTATTGTATTTATAGGGTTTGACTCTCTCACCGACAACCGAGAAACAAGCGGTGTGATGGTTCATCCGATTCTGTGAGGATGGGACTTTGCACCGACATTCTCCCACGGGAAGCCTGTTTTGATGGAGGTACCAGTACATGCATGAGCAGCTGAACTATAGAAACCACAAAGCTTAGCTCTGTCTCCTCTCCAGGCTTTTTTCGATCCATTTCGAATCAAGCTTTTGGCCATGATTGGACAACTGCGTGGCCTTTTCCGTGAGATACTGGATTTCACGCTTCTTTCCTGGACTCTATTACATATCCTCAGACTCCTCCAGGCCGTTCACATCTGTCACCCGACCTTTGCGGGCATGGCATTCCTCCAGGCCAACGATCCACCGTATTTGGATGGTCACGAGTGAGTGGTCGAATGGTATGGAGTCAATGAACCGAAGAAAATGACACCCTAGGCTTCCAAGCACCGGTGATTTAATGATGTTTGACCAAACAGCTGTTGCTTGACTAAGGATTTTACACCACAAACTCTGGTCTGTCCCAAGCTCTTTGAATGGTCTTCTCTGCTTGAAGAAGGCGAAAAAAAGAGCCCCCCCTGGACTTGGACTGGTCTGCTGAGTCTGCTGTTGCACACGGCCGGGGGTGCAGCAGTTTTGCACAGGGTAGGGTGGATGACCGCCTCTGGAACAACAGCATGAGGGGTGCAGCGCTTGAGAAAAGGGACCAGGGATTTGGACAGAGAAGCAGCTGTCTTCCCGGCTAGGAACCTTTATTATTGTATACAGTATAATATGTATATACACATGTATACAGTAAGTATATAGTTATAAAATACAGTATACCATTACTATAATACTGTAGAGGGCACAGTAAGTATACAGTATATATAGTATATATACTGTATGCCTTTTACGGGGTGAGTTCTTGGCCGATGACTACAACTCAAGCACAGCAAAACTGATGATGCACTCGTTCTTGTTCAAAACCAGGATCCAAAGGTATGCTTTCTCTCGTACCAACTAGCTCGTTGGAGATCTTCAGTTTCCCTTTCCGGGAAAAAACATAACAAACATAGACATCGTCGTCACTGTTCCGTATCTTTTTGATGTAACCCCTTGGTTGATCGTTCGCACATCCATCTGCCAGAGATTTGGCTCTCTGGCAAGGCCATCGCCTTGAACGATGGTCTTGTCTGTCGCGCGAAGATGTGCACTAGAAAGGCAAAAGACTCATCGGCACAGACTTCCTTTCACATAAACCTCTTACCTTGTAGGTGCAACAAGGCAAAAGAACGGGAAGCACTGCTGCTGAAAGGGACCTCCAGCCTAGATAGCATGGTTCAAGGGCAGTTGGAGTCTGTCTACCTTCTGCGGCCTCATGCTTCTGCAAACTGCTGCTTGGCTTCATTGAACAAGTCTTCAGCTTGACTGCCTGGAGCATCGCATCTGGCATTTGGCCGAACTCAGTCCCTCCAAGACCTGACTCAATTCTCCTTGATTGACCCAAGTCAAAGCTTTTGCCCCAATAGGCCAATTGAAAGCCTTCTACTTGAATCCTGGAAACAGGGGCTCCGAAAAATGCCAACCTACCCTTTCTTCTCTGCCTACCACGTGAACTTCCGAGAAGATCGGCCCAAAGTCTCGCAGTGCCTGCCAGGTGAACGAGTGTTTCCAGGAGTTCGCATGGCTTCACTGGCGTTTTCATGTGGAAGTGAAAAAAGACACGGAGCCCGACCTTAAATCGAACCCACAAATGAGTGTCCGGCCAGTGGAAAAATACCCGGCCAGACCTTTGAGAGAACGACCATCCCGTCCAGCGCGTTCCGCGAGCTCAGCTCCGCGCGTCACGTTCCGCCGGCGCGGTCCGCACCCGGTGCATCGCGAAAAGCGTCGAGACGCACCAGTGTTCGCATCCGATCGTTACGTTCTCCTCGTCGCGAAATCAGGAAAAAAGAGACGACGGCATTGAGGGTTAAGGGTTTAGATGGGTTTAGGGTTTATGTGGGCATGGCTGAAGGAGACGTTGGGACCGTTGTGTCCTTCCTTTCGTCTCCACCGCGGTCGAGGGTCCGAACTGGCCCACGCGGTGGAAGGCTGAATGCTTCGAACTCCCCTGATGTAGGCTCTAACCTCCCCCAATTGAATTAAAAAACCTCTTCATAACGGGGGGTTTAATCTATCAAGAATCAAGAGTCTACATTAGTCACTAGTCGTAATTTAGACCCAAGATACATGAAGCTTGAGGGACAGAAATCTTCGTCAGTGCATTTTTGTTTGTGCTGCGGAAACAGGCGCTGCGGCACAAACGCGGAACACGCCAATCTCTGGAAACGACCAGAGTGTCCCGCTGAGCACGCGTTGGTCTTGAACCCATTTTCGACAGTGGTGCCTGGCCCAGTAGTCGTCCCACCACCTTCCGGTCGTTGCCATAGGTCCCACAGCCCACATCGGGGATCACTAACGCCGCCGGTTGGAGCGACTGGGAGGCGATCTCCTAGTTGGCGCTCAGTTCAGTTGGCGGACGCACTAAGCCAGCACCAGCACTGTCTTTCTGCATAAAGACGCAAAGACACAAAGACGTCTCTACATATTGTATAGATTCCAACCCCATAAAATGTTATAAGAACCATGAGCGGAGGAGCTCAACAAAAAACATCCCCAATAAAAGAGGGCGAGGTCTTCAAGTCTTGCGGACATCATGTACTTCTCTCTGAACTTCCCTTCTCTTCCGAGCGTCTTCTTGGGCTGCGCTCAGAACAGCACGGAACTTGTCACGAATGAGCTTCTCATAGACTGCTTCATCTGTTGGACAGTCCACCGGTGCATCCGTCACCTTCTCCTCGGGAGATCCGTGTCGTGCCCGCGAGATCCGTGTCACCCCGGTAACCCGGGGGGATAAGGGGAAAGCCTAAAGGCCACCGGCCTCAGGCCGCAAAGCCTAAAGGCAGTGCCAGTCGTTGGAAACATTTTCCACAGGACAATCCATTGATTTCGATCAATGTATGTAGTATTGACCTAATTAGCTGCCAAACATGAAACCAATGAAACCGACCCCCAAAGCATCACGACCTTCCGTGTGGAGTTCTGCGTTTCGGTGGGCTGACCGATCTGACCGACGCAGCCCGGAGGAGATCAATGGCTCTTCACAACACTTGGACGCGATCAGTCTCCGAGGCCACCTTTGGCGAAATTAAAGGAGTTGGGCGATCAATAACAATCTCTAAATTCAGGTCCCCTTGGTGAACACCAACACCCGGTGCAGCCTGTGTCCCAATACACCCTGGCTTCGTTGCATCCAAGGCTTCGTTGCAGTTCGGCATAGCCACACTGACGATGGTAATCTTGGAGACCTGAAGTCCCAAAACTGGGGACCAAATCGGAAGATCGGCTAGTCCGTAGGAGAATTGTGAAGTCAGTGAAGGATCCTTCTACGGATAGGAGGTATCCTTCTTGGACTATTGAGATTGTTTCAGCCAGAAGAATTGCGAAAAAAAGAAATAGGAGGTATCCTTCTTGGGTGGCTGTCTCTCCAAGAGGCATCTCTGCTAGCAGCCAAGATGTGTTCTCTCTGGCAAGAGCTTCTGTACTTCTCTTTTGTTTTGCCGAATCATGCTGGACCAAACAAAGAAGTAAAACATGAAGAAACAAGTCCCCCATGTGAAAATCTTCTGGAAATTCATTGTTACTGTTATTGACATCCTGTTCCTTCTCGTCTCGCGCGCACACAGTGCCAATACGGCACGTCACAGATCTCCCAAAACCAAGGGCAGCCCCACCTCATCAGGCGAATAGAAGGGATATCCCTCCCCAGTTCCTCCACGGAAGACTTCCACGTTGGGGCTCACGATGCAGCCCACCTCCGGAATGTGACACGCCTGCCAGACGCACAAACGTCTCGGATGGGCGGAGACCGCTCCAAGAGACAACTCCAACGGGAAGATACAGGTTCCGTTGAAGAAACATCGAATGAGCGGATGGAAGGAAGGAGCTTTCAAATGCTTTCAAACGCGGTCTGATGAAGGACGGACATCCTTGGTCTCAATTCTGGCCTTCAGCTGCGGAAGTTTATGCCAGCTTTAGCCAAGGCACCCAGGGCTTATTTTGTTTTGAAGTCTCCGGCCGGCAGTGAGTGGAGGCGGCGACCTTCGCATCCTCGCAAGGCGCGGCGGTCACCCGCGACACCCAAAATACTGGAAGCCTCTGAATCAACGAACTCAAGCAACTTCTTCCTAAAGATGCTAAAGCCGGAAAGGTCCTTGCCTGTTGTTTTGGGGAGATCAAGATGGCAGCCTACCAGATCATCGCCCAAAGAGCCCCTTCAACCTTCCACCGGCTCTCCTGGGCCAAAGTCTCAGCTTTCTGGAGCGAGGCAAACAGCGTGGAGCGCATGCAAATCGACTCCTCCAACGCGTGACCTCAGACCGAGATCGACCGACCTCCGCTTTTGAAGAACACCCGACCGAAATGAGGGGACGTACCCAGCCAGGGAAGAGCGGATTTCGGGGGGTCTCCTAACTTAAATAACTTAAGATACACATCTCGTATCATCCAAGCACCCCAATCTCCATCCAATCACACCCATTTCTTCACCCTGAGGCGAGTGAGGTGGTCGACTGGTGATCGACTGACTTGGTCAACTTCGCCGGCTTACCAGTGGCTCAGTGGCTGGTGGAGTTGGTGCGGATGAATGGAGGAGACCTACCGTGGTGACCGTGGTGTTCCTGAAACCGTGCCGTTTGGGGTCGAACACCTCGAAGTCATGCCATCCGTGATCATGCCGCACCCACGCCATCATGCCATCCGTCATGCCAGTGGGTCAGTTCCCAGAAATTGGACCGTCCGTTTTGAGTGTGATAGGATTTCCTTGATCCACAATCTCCAGAGAATCCCGCCGCTTTGCTGAGATGTTGGGTTCTCAGAGGTGGCTCCAAAAGGCGTTCGCAGCACCCGCAGTGGCCCCCCCGCAGCCACCGTGCGAGCCCTGGGTGGTTAAGGGAAGCTCTGGCACTCAACTTCCTGTTCTGGGCGCAACATGGTGCAACAAGTGGCCGAGGATTTGGCCAAAAAAGGATATGACTTCCATGACCTCTCACCAGGCTGCCCAAGCATTGCTCGGCATGCTGGGAAGTGCTCCCGCTACAGGTGCGTCAGCCGACTGTTTTGTCCCGGGGTGGGCCGTGGCTCGGGCAAAGAGTATTCTCGGTTCCGTGTGTACAAGTTGGCACCTTCATGCACCTTCCCCGTTCCCTTCTCAGAAGATATGTTGAGGTGAGTATCCACCGAAGAGTAACGGAGTGTGCCAGCCTAAGAGTTTACGGAGTGGAACTCTGAAACCCACCGTGGATCCCAGGCCACAAAAAACAGGGAAGCCGGGGCCCTTGATGGCCCTCGTTCCGTTCAGTCTTCAAGTCGTTGGAACCATTGGTGACCTACGACTCGAGGAGTCAGCCCGGATCCACTGGGCTGAGGTAGACGAGGGACGGCCTCCTGTGGTGAAGCCACCTCCTGCATGATATGCCGAAGCAGCATTCACTGCGATGACCAAGTGTCCTGAATCAGGGCATGAGATCCAACCGACAGGCACCCGAGTGTCGGGGACGATGCATTGGCATAGAGGCATAGAGGATCCTGTCTGAATGCTAGACATGAAACTTATCCCATTTGTAAATGAATGTATACATGATATATGATGATTTATGTGTCTACGAATGAATATCCCTCACATCCACTTCTCTTCCGAGGCTATCATACTGAATCATACTGTAATCTCTTTTATAAGCCTCGCCCCTGTCCTTCTCTTGCTACAGCACAAGCTGTGTCCAAAAGTTCCTTGGGTTGGAACTTCCATTGCATCTCAGGAACCTCAGCAGCCTCTGCCGTGGATTTAGCCGCTTTCACCTCAACACCCAAGCGCGTGCCATGTACTGTGGAGTCCGGGTGAAGCTCCACGCGTTGACCATCGAAGAGGTAGCCGCCATCTCGGCAGACCTTCTGAGTCACCTGAGACCAACAACCCGTTGCTTGAGATGAGACTTGCCGCAGTCAGAAACTTGGACGGTCTTCCGACGCGATCGTGGTGGACCCCGTGGCGGGTCCCTCCGGTGCAGTGCGGGAAGAAGATTCCTGCAATAAGAAGACGAAACCGAACGGAACAAGCTCCGAACGAAACGAACCCAGCGATCCCTGCTGCATCTCCGAAAATGGCCGAACATCTCCTCCAAACAGCCATCTTCAGGGATGTGAATGGCCCAACTCGTCCAGTCACCCCGCAGCACCGGGTTGGCGCCCAACTGGATGGGACGTCCACTCCAAAAGCGGGCCATCACCAGTCATCACCGATGATTTATTTCACACGAGAAAAAAGAAAAAAGGGCAGAAAGGATTCCCCCCACCGAGGCAGAGGAGTCATGGTTAGTTCAGCGTGTATTGAAACAGGGAGACCTCCCAGTTGTTCGACCCCCCCTGGAAGAAGTGACCAGGGAGTCTCCCTATCAAAATACACTTCCATGTGCCATTCTCGGGTCTCCTGCCTCTGCGGCACTCTTCCGTTGATCCCGATCCGCTTGGTCCTTGCCGTTCCTCAGCCACTCGTAGGGCTTACCTTAAAGCAATGGAGCAAAGCTTCGTTTCGAGGTCCAAGGCCTGTTGAAGGATGTCAAGTTTCTGGGGGCGCCTTTTTGATATCACAACATCCAATTCTTCAACCATCGGGGGGTAAAAACCTTTGAATCTGATTTCTCAGAAAAGATGCCAGAACCGGAAGGTAAGGCCCCTCGATCGGATAAAGACACCTCCAGCAACTTTGATGCTTGTGCAGGGTCGCTGGGCGGAGGGTCACTCGTCTTTGCATCTCCAGGTGCTTGGGCCTGGGATGCAGGGCCACTCGGGTCACTGGTCTTTGAATCTCCAGATGCTTGGGCCTGGGATGCAGGGCCACTCGGGTC